GTTTATAAATTTAATAAATGATATATGGATATTTCAAAGATGTTCTGAATGTTTGATTGCCGAAATGCTTGGATCGATGATCATTTGTAGTTCGGATAAGTGGCTCGTGCCCTGCTTGGCTTTAAATGTCTGACATAACACTGCAATGTTGCTGACATTGATCAGCAGCGAGAGCGGCCGCTTCTCATTGGACCTGTTGGTTGTCGCTCAGCCATTGAGGTTGAGACAAAGTGACAATGCTGTGAAAACTGAGGGTCGCATTGTGCAGTGTGTAGGGGTGACCCATTGACTGGTCCATACGCGATACTATGGGGTGGCTTTGGATCGCTGTGGCAACGTGTGTGCTCGCGTCCTGCTCTGTCAAAGGTAAGTGCTAGAACAAGCAGGAGGGCACCTCCCACGTGAGGCTGTGTGCCTATATTTATTGTAACAACAGCCTCTGAAACGGGGCTCTCCCTTTTATTATTTATTTTTTTAATGGATTGTTTGGGTTTATATCAACCATCTGTTTTTATAGATGTACACAAAGGGCAAAGTCAAGACAAAAACTTTGAACTAGGGCTTATTTAGCTGATTAAAGATGAGCTTTATCTCTTTATAAATTGGTTTGAAAAGTTTCAGTTAATGATCCCTTTAAAGGAAATGACTGGTGGTTGGAGTATGAAGAGGGGATTCGGCACTACAGCAAGGAGGCCCTCAATAAGGTACTGTTTCACCTATGTTTATCACTGAGGGTTTATTTTGTTGTTGTTAGACACAAAGTTTAAATTTTGGTCGTCATTTAAACAGCAAAAAGCCTTCGTTGACAGGCTTATTAAAATGACAAAAAACAATATATAGCAATTGTTAACCTTTCTCTTAAAAGTAGGTTAGCATCGTGTCACACCAGACTAACCACATGGCCCAGCAGGCATCCTGAACTTGTGCACAGCAAGCGCAGCTAACGCATCAAAGACAGTGAAACAATGATCGATCAATAAAAACGCAGTCCGACAAGGTACTGAAGATGAGGTTTCCACTGTAGCAGTGAAAGTTATGTTCAGGTTTGCCTACTGTAATCTACAACAGAATCTTAATGCACAAACACTGTGCTCTGCTGGATTAAATATTTTTATATTTATTTTATTTAGAAAGAGGGACAATACATATTAATGAACATTTTAACAAATGTAAATATGCCAGATTATAGCCTTGGGCTAATTTCCATCTGCAGACCCTCTGGCAGGTTGGTGTTACACACAAGTTAGTAAAAACATACAGAGACACTATTTACAGATCATGTGACAAGGACAAAAACAGTGATCACATCATAATATAATTTAAGCTTTGCCTGATCTTACTGTCAGTTATTTAGTTGCTATTATCCTGTTTGTTTGTTTTTCAGACTTGCTATGCTGTAAAATGTATTAAAGTACCACAATACCAATGCTCCCAAAAAATCAATCTGGGTTTGGCGGTTGCCAGGAGTCCTTGTATGACTGGATTGTGTCAAGTGTAAAGTTTGGTAGAGGGGGATTATGGTGTGGGGTTGTCTTTCAGAAGTTGCACTTGGCCCCTTAGCACCAGTGGAAGGAACTCTTAATGCTTCCACATTCCAACTTTGTGGGAACAGTTTGGGTTTGACCCCTTCCTATTCCAACATAACTGCTCATCAGTGCACAAAACAAGGTCCATAAAGACATGGATGAGCGAGTTTGGTGTGAAAGAACTTGACTGGCCTGCACAGAGTCCTAACCTCAACCTAATAGAACACCTTTGGGATGAATTGGAGTGGAGACTGTGAGTCGGGTCTTCTTGTCTGACCTTACAAATGCACTTCTAAAAGAATGCTCAAAATTTACCATAAACACTCCTAAACCTTGTGGAAAGCATTCCCACGAGAGCTGAAGCTGTCATAGCGTCAAAGTGTGGGCTGACGTCATATTAAACCCTAAGGATTAGGAATGGGATGTCATGCAAGTTCACATGCGCATGAACGTGGATGAGCAAATACTTATGGCAATATAATGTATCTAAAACGTTCTAATGCAATAAGATTTTTTGAAGATTTTTGCACATGAGCTTCCTTTTTTCTCCACAAATGCATCAACATATACAGTATTAAACTTACGCAACTGTTTAAAACATTTATAGCAGTTTATTCCGATGTAGGAAGACGCTCAAAAAAGAAGAAGAAAACAATTGTCAGTCCCTGAAGACAAACTTTTGTCATTACAAGGAAATAAGGACTCATAAGGAAACATAACTGGTCTCGATGTGACAGCGAGGCTTCTCTCTTTTTACTTATTTAGGAGTTTCCAGAGAAAACCCGGCCAGTGAGCTTCAAGCATCCTGTGTTCCAGTGCTCAGACATGAGTCCTTCTCCCTCTGTCCCCTCCTCAGGTCTGTCCAGGTGTCACCTGCTGACCTCAAATCTTGTGTTGTTCAAGAGTTTGAACTAACGCTCTTTTTCTCTTTCTTTCCCTCTCTACCTTCCCTCTATCCACCCCTCCTTCCACCCTTTTGTCTAGTTGAATTTGTGAAGGCCGCAGATATCAAAGTCATCGCCGCCTTGGGGGATTCTCTGACAGTAGGTGTTATATGTTGTTTGCTGCTTCCTCTGCTGTGCCGATGATACAGTGTAACGTCGACCAAAAATAGACTCGCTCTGACCGTTGATTCATTCATTTTGCATACTCTCTTAGTCCTGCTGAGCAGAAGGCAGCTGCAATCGTGAGAAGAGCTAAAACGCTTACAGTGATGGATAAAGACTGAGTGCAAATGAGATTGAAATAAACTTTAAACTGCATTACTAACCAAATGTTGCACCAACGGAAGAGCAGTCAGCTTAGTTATTATCTCTTTTTGTGCTTTTATGAGAACGGCACATCTTCATAATCTAAGAGAAGATGCCCAAATTGCAGCTGGTTAATGGGGACCTGTTATCATCTCCTCTATGTTTTTATTCTTGGACTCTTTGTGTATCGTTGCATGACTCACAGTTTATAATAGTTCTCATCCCGAGCCTTATTTCGGCAGCGTTGCACGTATACGGCAGAGAATTTGGAAAGGCATAATAGGATCCGTTTAAATTAGAGTGACAAACCACCCACACAAACACTTACTCATAAAACTGCTTTTCTTCTGTTCCTTGGCTCCTGATCTCTCTATGCCGTGCCCCTTCTTTTCCAGACGGCTATCGGCGCCAACGCCACTACTGTCCTCGGCATTCCCATTGAGTTTCGTCACGTGTCATGGAGGTGCCTGTCACAAATCTCGCACAAATAACAATCAGGATGATGTGAAGCAGACTGATCTCATATCAGGAACATGTTAGAAACTGTATTCCCCCATGAGAGTGTCAGTCTGTAAGAAACAAGGTTAAACTGACATTAACAGTTCTGCTGCTGGTATTGCTTTCCTTTCTGCTTGCAGCATTGGAGGCTATGGGACATATCAAGATGTCATTACTTTGGCAAGTAAGCTGTCACTGCTGTGTCCGAGCTGTTTCTTAACTGTATCGTTCCATGAAACTCACAACGAGAAAAGTCCAGCTCATTTTCTTTACCTGTTTGACGCTGTCATTTTTAGATATCATCAAGCTGTTTAACCCCAGTCTGCTTGGAGCTTCTCCTGGAAAGACAGTTCATGGGATGCAGGCTCATATCAGTGAAACGGGCTTCAACTTGGCCGTAACTGGACACAACACCTTGTAAGACCTTCGCTTACTTTTGTGTTGCTTAATCTAACAAATTATATTCTTCTACAAAAATAACTGAGCTGTGACCTAATTCACTTTAGGAAACATGTTATTCTTTATTTTGTAGCAATCTCCCCGGTCAGACGAGACATTTGATAGACACACTGAGAGGTTACGAGGTAAAGCGAGGCCTTGTTTTCTCAGTAATGATACAGCACAGGGATGGGAGAGGTAACGGGACTGTCGTCTCTTCCTTTAGGGTCTCAACTTTGAAGAGGACTGGAAGCTTTTGACTATTCTCATGGGCATGAATGACATCTGTGATTACTGCAAAGATAAAGTCTGTCTTGGTCTCTTATCTTTAATTCAATAGAAAATCTCTCTATATATGGAATATTGCCTCTTCTATTACCTCTGATGAATCTCCTCTACTTCCAGGCTCTTTTTTCAGTAGATAACTTCATCCACTATATGACCGTCTCGTTGGAAATGCTTATGAATGAGGTAAAGTCGAAGATAAACGAAATCAGGCTTAGCCCTGGGTTTACTGTCTGCTGAGACTGAGGGTCAGTGCTGTGCTGAATCACCACAGTGCAGGTCTTCATGCTGTGCTTCAGGTTCCCCGTATGATTGTGAACGTGGTTCAGATCCTCCCCATGCAGACTTTGAGGGAGGTGCAGAAGCCCACCCCAGGGTGTTTGCTCCAGCGGTGATCACTCTCTTTCTCTCTCAGAACAAGTTCAACTCTGGCTTGATTGACACTTCTTGAACTTTTTACTTTTTGACTTTGATTTAGGTCTTTCTGCTCGTGCCTGATAGAGCCAGTAGCCAGATCTCCTGAACTGCGGGAGCTGGTGGAGGTCAATCTGGAATTCCAGGTGCACGTTACTTCTTTCATGTTATAAGATTATGTATTACTGTATATAAGGAAAGATGGTACAGGAGATAAATTCTTATTTCATTTGGTTGCCATGTTAGAAGGAATATTGACTCTTTTTTTGATCCCTCTATGCATCATAAAAAAATTCCCATGTTTTTTAGGAACAACTTGTTCGTTCTGTACAGCAGACTCTGAATGTTAGGCTGCACAAACAAGCTCGTCTGTAAAACACCTGCAGAATCTTGAACTGCACACTCTGTTGTATGTAAGAGCTATCGGAGATGAGATTTCTAGGTCAGAATATGAGGAAAAACTGCCATAAATATACATGCACTGCTTAAAAATGTTTTAATCAGAGTATAGCATCAGCTAAACTGCTGACATATTGATCCAGTCAGTTAAGTAACAGAGAGGGTTGTTAAACAGTTTCAGCTGCTTTAGTGTTAATGAAATTAACGAAAGGTGCTCTAGAGGGACAACAAAGAGACACAACTCCCAAAACAGCAATGGTTTTACAAGTAGAGGTCACTCCTCATCTTTTCTTCCTGTGTTTTCACTAGTTTAGCATTTGACTAGGGTCAGTGTAACTACTGGTACATAAGGTGATACCTGAACCCTGCAGAGGTTGCACAGGCATTTTCCTGTGTCTCCCAGCAGAGTCTCACGAGCACGGAGGAGATTCCAGGAGACAGGCAGTTACAGGACTGGTATCTCCTCCTTTGTGCAAAGAGGAAGAGGATGGTGTGGATGGCAGTGACCAAACAATCATAAACAGACTTCATCTTCAAACAGATGTCCTCTGTGCTCACTGCCTGGCACTATAGAGCCCGTTTGCCATAGAATACCAAAATTGCCTTGTTAAACATGCACTAATTTGTATAAATATCTAATTTACAGAGTGCAGAGAAATGTATTTTAAACATTTGTTTTCTACCAGCCTGAAAGAAGAACTATTTTGGAAGGAAACAAAGCTTAAAGAAATGCCCATTAAAATGCATTTTGACTGTATCTTCCATAATAATTTGCCTTGTCATTGTCCCAAATGATAACTCACTTTAATGTGCAAACAGGGTACATTGCACTCAAAACATTATATGCTGATTTCATGTTCGCAGCTCTCACTGTAATTTGTGTGTTTGCTGTTATTGTAACAGCACAAGCGAGGAGAATGGGAGACAAATTGATTCTCACGCTGCTTTCATCTGCAGAAAAGACTCGAGAAGCTGCTGTACAGCGACCGCTTCTTCAGGGACGACTTCGCCGTTGTTCTCCAGCCCTTTTTGAAGAACGCGGACCCGCCCCGCCTCCCGGTAATCCATCTCACGCCTATCAGTGTGACATAAGTGTCTGCTTTCAGACCAATCGGTGCGAAGCATCACGCGGCGATGACTGACTCATCAGTGATCCCCAGTGTGACAGCTGTAGCGTTTTGGCTGAGAAACTCACGAGTCTTGTTTCACCAACAATGCTGTCCATCACTAAAACTATACCGCAGTGTATTTTGTGTCTCTCTGAGCAGAACGGGAAGATCGATATGACTTTCTTCACTCACGACTGCTTCCACTTTACCATAAAGGGACATGAGGAGCTGGCCAAGGGACTGTGGAACAACATGGTGAACAATAAGTTGTATTTGATTTAAAGGCACAAGAGGCTAAAGGTCAATGAGTCATTCAGGGTTTATTGTGTAGGATTCACATGAATGTGAACTGTGTAATTGTTCAAATACACATGTCTGCTTCTCTCACAGTTTCAGCCCGAGGGAGAAAAGACGATTGTGAGCAGCTTCTCTGACCCCATCACTCTCATCTGTCCGCCTATGGTAAGATTAGCTTTCCATATTTGACAACTGTGTTTGGCCTGATTGGTCTAAAGAATTGAATATTAACTAAACGTTCCTCCAGTGAAATTAGGTTTCAGAAAGTGTTTTAAAATGTTTTAAAATGTTTGTTTAAAAGTCTGTTGATTCAAGGAAGTTTAGCGCTGTGGAACCTTTTTTTTCTCCATTTGTTATGACTCCTGTGCTTTAGATGCTTCTCAAAACACTCTGTTACTGCTTTGTCATGCTGCTGTGCATATAAATGACACTGCATTAAAATAAATGAGTGCTTGGTGAAATAAAAATGAATTTTAGTTCACCAGCAACTCAGAGCTGTTTGAAAGACTGGGAAAGAGGCTACGGTGCGTCACGCTTCTCAAAACGCTCTGCAGTACTGCATTATTTGTGTTGTGATAAATCTTAATTCAATATCTGATTTTTACAGTTATTATATTACATATCATATACGTAGGAACACCCATATATCTTCACTCGACCGATCGCAGCCAAGTCAGACCAACCTACCCTCCAGACTGACGCTCCATCACCAGCAGTCATCTTCCTGCTGCTCCTCCTGGCACAGTTTGGAGTTATGTAGCTTTTAATTCCTTTTCCCGACGCAAAACACACAGAGGGCGAAAGGAGTTTTTTAGCCATTCACCAGCATGGAGGAAATGACTGCAAACTGACAGATTTGACAACAAACAATCATTGCAATCATGCAGCCGAAATATCTGAATCTCAGAGGATGTTGGAGATGGACGAGATGAGGATAGGGGAGCTTCAGATGGTTGGGGGTTGTCTCTATAATATTGCCAGATTTTTACTAAATAAAGTGCCTGGAGATGACTGGTGTTGTGAACTGTTCTTCAAAGTGAACTGAACTGAGAAATGTGACTTTCTAATAGACCCTTTTACAGTTTTTAATTGAGATTTAAATAACTTTTCCTACGCTAAAGACGATATACCAGTTAGACCGCATGCCTGGTAGTGGGATGTTTCTGTTTCTCCCCCATTTGGGGAGCAGACTTAGAGCATATATGTATTTTTAATAAAAAGTTTGCTTTGTACAAATTGCAAATGTTGTAATTAACAAAGCATGACGACCTACTTTTGGTTCGTGTGACTTTTATACATTCATACATAAAATATTAACGACTTTGCCTCTTTAATAACTTCTGGGCCTTTTTTTAAAAAAAGTTTTCAGACTCAGATTTACCTTTTTAAAAAACAAAACTTTTGTTTGCTTGTTTGTTTCTGCACGCTTACTCACGCAGAGGGACCCTGGCAATGTGCCTCGATCAGCTCAGTGAAAAAAAAATGATTTAAACATGAAAATTTGTCATTCATATCATCTGCTGTAGATTTCCCCAGACAGCTCTGACTTCTCAAACAGGGGAAGATTTAGTCACAGGTCTGCTCCTCAGATCTCCAGGCAGCTGCTGGCCCACTTTCACTGCTCCATCCTCCGGTGCCTGAAATATTATTATTATTATTCTTCACTAAAAGAGGGAAAGCAAACCATCAGTCATTGCACTGAACAAAAAAAAAAAACGACAACAAAAAAACACTAAGTGTTGCTCATGCTGCTGGGTGCTGAGCAGTGGAGTCATTATCTTTTACCCGCAAAATGTCAGCGGTTGGCGTCAGTAGCTGAGGTGTAATCATCCAGTGCAGATGGCTGTATTGTACTCTCTGGTTAAACAGAGCCTACAATACAGAATTCACCGACTCCATTGAATCAGTGTGATTACAAAGGCAGGTGGAAACTATATTAAGGCAATCTCAGGTTACTTTAATGTGCTCAGAAATAGCAATTTACCTCCAGAATGGAAAGGAAAACCATATGACATGTACTCAGTGTGGTGCAGCTGGGTTGTATAAGTATATCATGTGTCATATATGTAGGAACAATCATATTTGCATGGGGAAAGCCTCCCTTTTCTAACGTTTTCTTATAATAAAACGCATAACCCTTGAGTTTAGAAAGGTAATTATTTGTAATCACCTAACATGTATTTTTTCCCAAACTCTTTCAAATTTATTTGCTTTGTGCCAGTTTACTTTGTTGCTTCTTGGATGCTTCTCTTTGACGAATTTCAGTTAGTGCTTGTAGCTTTCAGATTTCATTATAACCCTTTTATTGTATTCAAAGGAAACCGTCTTCATGTTTAAACAAAGCCGTCGGCACTTTACGCGGGACAAATATGGATCCTCTGGTCTAGCTCTGATGCAGATTGGCCTTTATTGTTTCTCTGAATGCATAATGAGATCTTTGGGATGTCGGTGAATGGTGCAGCAGCACAATGTGAAACTGCAAACAGTCCAAACGCCCCCTCCCACTTTAGAAACCTCTGCTCTGTTTGTTTTTTAATGAACATGCCAGTAACAAGATGAAAATGACCTCATGATGACATGCACATCCAGAAGTTTTAGAATTTTCCAGTGTGCATGTCTGCTCCTTATAAATGGAGACAAAATGCTGGTACTGTTTCTGCAGTTTTAATGTATCATCATTTAATGTCAGATCTCAGGAGGCTCAGGGAAAAGGTCTTATTAAAATTCAAAGGGAGAACAAAACAATAATAAAGCTTCACTTGGTGCAGGGTTGCCAATTCTGACACTTCTGATGTGACAAGACCGCTGGTCAGGAGGTGAATCAGACACAGATCACACACCCACCACCTACAACATCACAAACAACCCCCAACTCTATTTGCTCCATCGTATCTTTCGCACGCTGAAACGTCTGTAAAAAATCCAGCCCTGAAGATGTTTTCTCTGAGTTTTTTCCACACCTGAAGCTTTCATACAGCAGCGGGATCCATCAACGAGCTTTTCCAAGGTGAGAGAGTTGTGTGCATTTAGGCGGGTGGCACAACAGATGGAACTATTTGTGACTATTAATAGGGATATTTTTATTTTACTCTTAGTAAAAGCCTGATGGGTTTACTGAAATAAAAAAATACATTTCTCTCATGTCATGTTTTTAATTAATTTGTTATCAGTAAAATGTGGCAAAAAGGAAATTTAAAGTAAAAAATTAGTTATTGTAATTAGATAAATCATCACTACCCATTTCAGTGTTGTTATTGGTTACACGGGTGGCAGATTTGGTCTAATTACTTAAATTAATTGGGGTGCTATTTGGGACCTTATTTACAGGCTTCTCTGTGTTCTAATTATAATCATCCATTAGGAAGGGCATTGGTATAAAATATATTTTGGCAAATATTTATGCAGATCAGGATAATTGCATACAGATTGGTCAACGCACATTGCTCCACTGTGGCAAGCCATTAAAGGAGCAGAAACAAGAAGGAGATGACAGAAGAACAGATGAAAACAAATTGCAGTCATAAGTAATTGTGGGGACTTTCAGTGTGGCTGATGTAGGTTGGGAGGGGCAATAAAACAAACAGAGATTTGGTGACTTGGAAAAGTTTTAGCCTAGGACCCCATAAAAGTACCTTCCATCCGTTTTCTGCAGAGGTTGTTGGAGGTTATCCCAGCTGTCACAGGGAAAGAGGCAGGGTTGATAATCTGTTGGACGGCTAATTGTGAGAGATAGCAATCCATGCTCACAACCTAACATGATGCATGTCTTTAGACTGTGGGAGAAATGAGGTTTGGAGATGAAGTATACTGATGACCAGCAGTATGGCTTAGTGCTGAGAAAGAGCCCTACAGATGTTATGTTTGCTTTAAGAATGTTGATGAAGAAGAATAGAGAAGGTCAGAATTAGTTGCACTGTCTGTTGGTAGATCTAGAGAAAGAGATGAGGAAGTCAGGAGTGGAAAAGAAGTATGTCAGGGTGGTGCAGGACATGTATGAGGACAGTGTGACAGTGATGGCGTGGATAGATGGGTTAAAGGTGCGGGTGGGATTGCATCAGGGATTGCATTTGAGCTCCTTTTTGTTTTCTTTGGTGAAAAACAGACTGACAGACGTGGTCTGCCAGGAGATTCTGTGGAATAAGTGATCTGTAGCGAGAGCAGGAAGTAGGTGAAAGAGAGTCTGGGAGTAGAGGAGTAGAAGAAGTAAAGGTAAATGAGTTCAAATAGCTGGGGTCGACCATCCAAAGCAACAGACAGTGCACAAGAGGTGAAGATTAGTGCACAGGAAGGGGAACTTGCTGGAGACTAGTATCAGGGGTGATTTGTGACAGAAGGATAGCAGCAAGAGTGAAAAGGAAGGTTTACTAGCTGGTGGTGAGACCTGCTGTGATGCGTGGTTGGGAGACAGTAGCACTGACAGAAAGACAGGTGTTTTTCATTCGAGGTGACCTGAATGGACAGGATTGTAAACAAGTACATCAGAGGAACAGCTCAGGTCGAGTGGTTTAGACACAAAGATAAAGAGGCAGGGATGAGATGGTTTGGGCATATGCAGAGCAGGGAGCTGCTAAAAGAAGAGGAAGACAAAGATCTTTTACCTCTTCATCCACAGTTGGTATCAACCTTCAACTCAGTGTTTCTTGCTCTGCACTTTGGACTAACCTGATATCAGTTTCATAACAACAGAAGCAAAACATACTCAATTCTGAGTATTTGTATCTAATGACAGCTGCAGTTGTATTTAACACCTGCGTTCTGTAGTTAGCATTGTGCATGATGATTAAATGTGTTACACTGTGATAAATTTTGTCTAAATAGGTGAAAATTATTGTGGGCGTTACCAAAAGAGTGCTTCATTCAATAGATGTGTGAAGAAGGCTGTGTATTTGGCTCAGAGAAAGAGGTTGTCTGTTTTATCTGTATCAACAGGCACAATAAACTGTATGCTGTAATTATAAAATATTAATCTAGAAAGATAAATACTGCATTGTTCCTAAATATGAACAGACCTTGCAACATAGCTCAGTTTGATTTGGGTCACATGCTCACATGAGCAAATCTGGACAATGGCAGCAATAATTTTTAATAAAATATCACCAGGCAACACATTTAGGCAGTCAAGCGGCACAATCAGTAAATACAGCTTGATAATCCCTCTTTGTCCTATGGGGAATGACTCAGTGATGTTGACAGAGACACTATCATTTATTTACAATACATCCATTCTCTTGACTGCTTATCCAGTACAGGATCGAGGGGGACTGGCGCCAGCTCCAAGATCAAATAGTCTTTAAACAAGATGTGAAGGAAAAGCAGACTTCCCCCTTCAATTCTGGGGTTCACATCCCACAGAAGCTTAACTGGATTTAAATCTGGGGAATTTGAAGTCCACACTTCAAACTTGCTGTTGTGCTCCTCTAACCATTCCTGAACCATTTCTGCTTTGTGGCAGGGAGTATGATCCTACTGAAAGAGGCCACAGCTATCAGTGAATACTGTTTCCAAGGAAGGATGGTCTGCAACAATGCTTAGGTAGGTGGTACGTATCAAAGTAATAGCTACATGGAGGGCAGAACCCAAGGTTTCCCAGCAGAACATTGCCCAAAGCATCGCACTGCCTGCACAAGCCTGCTTTTCCCCCACAGTGGATCCTGTGCCAGGTGTTCCCCTGTGAGGTACACGCATCCGGCCACCCACGTGATGTAAAAGATAGTGTGATTCATCGGACCATCAGATTGACTTCTTTTGCTCCATGGTCCAGTTCTGATATTCATCTGTCCACTGTTGGTGCTTTCCTTGGTGAACAGGGGGCAGTATGGGCATCCTGCCTGGTCTGCAGCTATGCAGCTCCATACGCAACAAACTGTGATGCACTGTGTGTTCTGACACCATCAGAACCAACATTAACTGTTTAGGTAGTTTGAGCTGCAGTAGCTCATCTGTTGGCCACACGGGCTTACCTTTGTTCCCCATGAGCATTAATGAGTCTTGGCCGTCCACAATCCTGTCACTGACTCACCACTGTTCCTTCCTTGGACCACTTTTGATAGATACTGACCACAGCAGACCAGGAACATCCCACAACAGCTTGTCAAACTCCTCAGATAATTACACTTGCACATTTTTCCTGCTTCTAAGAAATCAACTTTTAGAACAAAATGTTCACTTACTCTCTGACAGCTGCCATGATGAAGTGATAATCAGTAATATTTACTTCACATGTCAGTGCTTGGTGTATATATTTATATACATATAGCTATAGGTATGTGTTCACATATACATCCATATTTTTGTGGGTGGTAATTGTGCGGATAAACATATGTATCAGGATGATGATCATCACCCTTCATATTCCTTCTTACTTATTCAAAATCCCGCCATCTGTCTACCCCCCTTTATCCTGCTTGTCCTGTTTTCATTGTTGTGTGTCTTTGTCCTGTGCGGTTGTTGCTTTTTTCAAAATCAAATGTATAACATAAACTTCTTGAATCAAAGCTAAAGTCTACACAATCAAAAATTAATTTAAAAATACATATGCTCCCAGTTAAACCATACAAAGGATAAAAAATATGATCGATGCTCAAACAGCGCACGGGGATAGAGATGCTCACTTTTATACCTGAGGCACTCTGAACTGGCACACGCCCTGACAACCAGCGAGGTACGATCAGGTACAACAGCAATTATTTGTCCCAGGATGATGTCATTTCCTCTCTCCAGCTCACGCTATAAAAAGGGTGCTGTTGCGGCGAGGTCTTGGTGGAGAGACCGGAGAGGACGGAGGCTGTCGGGTCACCGATGCTGCAGAAAATCTAGCTCTCCAGAAATACCGAAAGGCGGCTAAGTTTTGTTCAGAATGCGTCCCTAATTCACCGACTTTGATTTACAGGGAAGAAACCTAACCTTCTGATAAAAGCTTCGCTATTTTTTATTATTCCTGGAGAGCTACTTCGCCTCGTTTCCAAACATGATCGGGAGAGGACTGTTCCTTTTGACAATCCTGTCTAGCTGCGGTAAGAAAAAGAACAGACAGCTAAACCTTGATGAAGTTGAGCGATATGAAGACACAGACGGTTGGTTGAAGGAAATCTGCATTAAGTATTGTGACTGCCGGGGTTCCGCACCGAGGACAGCGACAAGCGCATCTTTAATTGCAATGAATTCACCTGCGCCTTTGGCACAATTATTCTCGTTACTAAAACAACCAGAGGCTTGTAGTAACACAGCGAGTGAGGAAAGAAAAGCGCACACGCACACACACGCGCACA